AAGAGAATTCCCACCCTCCAACTCTAGACACAAAGAATGGGAGCTTTCTGATAGCTTCAATCACATAACATCTGGATCATAAGCAACCATTCAGCTTTGTCACTCAACAGAACATAAGAATTCAAACAGCACAGAAAACAAAAGCTGACATAGTTTTGTTAAATATATAATCCAGCTGTTCAAACTGACTTAGCCTCAAGATAGGAATGAATTTGATACTGTATAATATCTTAAAGTAGACAAATTATGAAAAGAAAATAAAGCAACAGAAAAAAGCCAATGGGGAACAACAAGCACCTGTCTGTATAACTGGTTAAAAATCATCAATAGGCTGGAGAGATGGCACAGCATTAAGCACACATGTTGCTCTTCAGAGGACCTGGGCTCATTCCTGGCACCTCCATGGCAGCTAACAACTATCTATAACTCCTGTCCCAGGAAATCCAATATCTTCTTCTGGCCTTTTGTGGGCTGCACACACATTGCATATAGAAACACAGGCAGACAAAACTTCCATACATATAAAAACTAATAAATTAAAAAAATATATAATAGTCACCAACAAAACCTATGTAGAAGGGGTCTTATGTAGCCCAGGATGGTCTCAAATTTATCATGTCACTAAGTAATGGAGGCTAGCCTTGATTATCTGGCAGCTACCTCCCAGGTCAGGAATTACTGGCATGCAGCACCTAAACCCCATATTTAAGAGATACAAAGAGGTATGTATGGTACTTTTTAATTGTTCTAACAGATAATAAATTATAGTATTCTTACTGCCCTGGCTACTTCTTCCTAGACTGAGGTCTCAGAGAATGGTCTGTTTCTATTTGGTTGACAAAGTATTTGTTGTGTAAGAATTAAAGTTGACAAGCCAAATGAAATCTCTGAACTGGCTTTACATAGAAAACTCCACTCCTCCCTGAGCTCCAGTATCAGAAACGGAGTTAACAATGTTAAGTATTCTGTGAAAAAGCACTCTTTCTGAAGCAATACAGCTTCAGGAGTGATTTGCTGTGGTTAGAAAATACATATACACAGATTTTTTTTTTCCAAAATACTTTCAGATATGGTTAATTAAAATATTTCACTAAGTTAAATTTTTTACTTACAAACTCATCAAAAGTATAGTATCATAACTACCCACAAACTTTTAGGAATTAAGACCTATACAATAAAAATATTTATAACTAAAAGGGAAAAATATAACTTCTGAAAAACAATTTTGAGCTATATTTGGAGGTTAGAGTTACATATGCTGCTCAATTATCATTAGAACAGCCAAATTGTATTCTCAGTTTATAAGGTAAAAAAAAAAAATTAACCTGTGAAATTACTTGATAACATAAAATTTTATTTAAATTACCAGTTGTTGCAGGTTGGATTGGGTGAGCTATCTGAGGCAGTGCTGGAGAGCTGGCCCAGACAGTAACAATGAGGGAAATAGGGAGGGCTGACCAACCCAGTTACAACCTAGAACCAGGGCTATGAGTTAGCCCACTGCAACATTCACTGAATCTATGAACTGTTGGAGCATGTGAAAGGGATGAACCTTCAGATTCAAAACAGCAGGATTTCCATGACACAGGACAGCAACAGGAGGAGCCCCAGTGAGAGCCCATTATCCCTGGTGTAGCAGCGGCCAGAGGCCTCCAGCCAGATCAATGAATGCCATGTGGCAATGAAGAGTTGCAAATAAAGATGAATGGACTAAAGAGTAAACTGTGTGACTCAATGGGCCACACTACAGCTTCCACGACAAGATTCTTTTTGTTGTTGTTTTGTTTTGCTTTGCTTCTTTGTTTTGTTTGTTTTTGGTTTTACTTTTAAATTTGGTTTTGTCTTGCGGGGGTGGGGTGGGGTGGGGGTTGCAAGGGCAGAGGAGGATTCAAGAGGGCAGGTGGTATCAGAAGGCATCCTGTGAAATCCACAAAGAATCAATAAAAGTTTTTTTAAAAAAATGGAAAAAGAGTCTTTTGCCTATTAAAAAAAAACCAAATCACCAGCTGTAGCATTTTTCAAAATTAGTATCTTATATGAATACTTGTATTAAGTGCACAAGTGTGGAAAAAAAGCCTGTTCCCATGGAAACAAGAATCTTCACAAATTCTAAAATATGTAATTTGATATGCAATTTTTCATAAAAATAATATAATCTGAATCTCTGTTTCTTCAGACAGGGTTTCTCTGTGTATTCCTGGCTGTCCTGGAACTCACTCTGTAGACCAGGCTGGCCTCAAACTCAGATACCCAACCTGCCTTTGCCTCTGAGTTCTGGGATTAAAGGTATATAACATCACAAAATATGTATTATTACTATTATTAGTTTCTCTGTTAAAACTAGAGGATTTTAAATTATCTTGTGAAAAATTTTAGTAACATTCAAGTACCAAGTCAATTTGTGGCTTTAATAATGCAAAAAATATTAGACTAAGTATTATATTTTAAAAACTGCTATTTGTGGATTCTCATGTATCTTTAGTCACAACTCAGTTGTACAAGGAATGTACTGAAATGTCCACACTTGAGCTTTTTTAGAAAAGTTTTTCCATTAAGAGAGTAGAGAGCCGGGCGGTGGTGGCGCACGCCTTTAATCCCAGCACTCTGGAGGCAGAGCCAGGCGGATCTCTGTGAGTT